CACATCTGCTGTATAATTATATGCTACCTATCTACATGTTAGGGTATTCACCATTCGATGCAAGGATAAACTTTAATGGTGTATGCTCCTGTTAGTTTGTGTGCGTGTGTATGTCCATATATTTTTTATCTCGTACGTGCAGCTATGAGTGCCCCACAGCTCGAAAATTTAAATAGAAATAGCATGTTGATGTTATTCGATGTAGGTTTGTATATTTAATTTAATATCCGACTCTGGTGTATGTGCATCTGCAGTGCATGTTCGTTAGAATTTCTCTACCATAAATACATATGTATTTTTATTTACTTGCAAGCAAGCAGCTAGCTTCAGCTTCAAACTAACAGCAACAGCATGCAACAACAATAAGAACAACAGCAGCGACGTCGACGAGTAAATCTACTCGAATTCTCTTGAGGCTTGCCTCGAGAAGTGGCACTCCCATTACAATCCCAGTTGGAAGTGACTCTCCATGTAAGCTCTGCAAAGATGCGTGCCAGGCGAAACAATGTCGATGCAAGTGCTGCAACATTGTCATGCTCGAAAGTATGCTGCAGTTTTTTCTCTTCTCCTGCTAGCTGTCGCAATGCTTGGTTGCGTATACGCACCGATAGCTGGTGTATGTGCACAAAAATCAGAATTTCAGCTAGACAAATAATGCTCGCCATTGGGATATGAGCGTGGCAACAGCAACAATGCCAGAAGTGCCACTACAGCTTGCCACGCCCACACGCCCAGTATACAGAGCCAAGGCTTGAGTGCCAACAAGTGTAAGTTGGCTGCTCGGCTGATCAGCTAAGTGCAGATAACAAGTCAAGTGGCCTGAGAGCCGGCGCTTAGGTGCGAGTGTGTGTGTGTGTGTGTTTGTGTGTGTAGGTGTGTGTGTGTGCGTGCGTGCGTGCTTTTGTGGCACCTGGCAGATCTGTACTTCAGTTTTTGCATGAAATCAAGCAGAATGAGAAACCAATTTGTGTGAAAACACAAAGGCAACACAGAGATGAAATGAAATTGGCCAAAACGGGTGCCTGGCGCCTTCACCTTGAGTTGGATTTGGGTTTGGCGTTTGGGTAAGTGGAAAGCAATGCGAAAACAACTTTTTAAATCGTCACAAAGTCCAAAGTAATAAATTGTGTGGCAACTTTCTACACCCATAAGAACTTGCCACTGGAATTTGATTTTGAATCTGACCCAAAAAGAAATGAAGAGAAATCAAAGGAAAAAGTCAGCGACATAGCCAAGGTTCAGTCAGTCACAATAAAGCACCTCAACATTATTTAAACGGAAAAATAGTTTCTGTTGCGGGAGCGTGTGTACTCTGTTGTGCGGTGCACTCAAATGCTGTATGGTTAACCGAGCCGGGCAAGAGCAACTAACATTATTTGATTCACATAAATGAAGCCCAAAGCCAGTGGGGCATGCAACAGCCCAGCCTTGCCTAGCTGCATAGGTGGACCAAAGTGTGCGTGTGTGTGCAAGGTCGTGCGGCCACTCACAGCGTGAGAGACTGCGACTGTGACTGTGGCTGAGGTTGAGGTTGCGGCTAAATGTGCGCCACAGTGGAAATTCACCCGAATAAACACAAAATTTATATGAACACATGGGAGTTGGGCTAGCTGCAGTCGAAACCTCCCCAAATCGTGCACTATTCGCACGCACACACTCGCACCCTTTCACTGCATCTGTATACGTGTGTGTGGCAACAAAAGCAATTTTGTCGTATTATGCATTCCTTTGGAATAAAATGGGGTCTATGGCTTTACCCCGACCTGAGGCACATTTCCGTTCATGTAATGGAAACACATAAGTGCCTTCTAATTGACTACAAAATACCCTACTGTTACGTATAATCAAATGCATATTTACTACTAATCCTTCGTCGCCCGAGTTGAATTAATAATGCTGACAATCGAATTGTTTCGAAATTGTTAATGTAGTTCGCCCCACAAATTGCCATCACGCGTCTACGCATTCGCTTTGTTTGCTTGAGCAACAACAACAACAACAACAACAACAAATTGACAATGTCTGCTCCATTTGAACCGGCGACCTCTACCTTGTGAGTCCGACTCAGTCACCTAAGCCATGCAGGCTCTCGCAGCTGTGCTTTTGATGTTTTTTGCACAAAATTTGCCCACAGGTTTTCCTCGCATGCAGACCAAGTTTTTCCAAATGACCGTCTTATTGCTCACTTTCCACCCAAAAGGAAGTTTCAGTAAAAACGTAGGTTTTCTTTTCTCTAATAGTTTCGGGCTGCGCGTTGCTCACTGTTCAGTCAGTTAGTCAAGACAAACTTCTTTTTTAGCTGTAGATTGATTTAAAACTGTTTCACATACTTATATGGAAATAAAAAAATGTTGATTGAGCTGTATTTTTTGAACTCAGCTACCCTATTGGGTTTGAACTTACAGGATATTAGCTAACGGCGGAAACAGCATTTTCAAATATATTTTTATATTTTTCATTTGAACAAATCGTTTTGCATGGTATATTTTTGTGCGCTTTGTCAAAGACTCGACCCATAGAAATATTGTTTTTTTTTTTGTTTTCGAGCTGAGAACTGGACGGTGCACGCAAACATTTGCCGAGTTTATGCGGCTCATCAACATGAAAACTTTTTTGATTGACCCAAAGTACGGCGTCATTTTTATTAAGTGCAGCTTTGCCAGAGGTCGGCTCTCTGACAAATGCGGCTCATGCTGTTTGGCCTTTGGCATATTCAAGTAAAAACATGGCCTGGTCTTCCACAGGTTGCTCTCCACTTGCTAAACTTTCTTCGCAAATTATGCCCACAACTGTCATTTCACAGATTTGTCATTTTTATGCCCTGCAGTCATAAAATGGCCGATAGAAGGTATATGCATAGGTATATGTATATGTATATGTATATGTATATGTATATGTATATGTATATGTATATGTATATGTATATGTATATGTATATGTATATGTATATGTATATGTATATGTATATGTATATGTATATGTATATGTATATGTATATGTACATGTACATGTACATGTACATGTATATGTATATGTATATGTATATGTATATGTATATGTATATGTATATGTATATGTATATGTATATGTATATGTATATGTATATGTATATGTATATGTATATGTATATGTATATGTATATGTATATGTATATGTATATGTATATGTATATGTATATGTATATGTATATGTATATGTATATGTATATGTATATGTATATGTATATGTATATGTATATGTATATGTATATGTATATGTATATGTATATGTATATGTATATGTATATGTATATGTATATGTATATGTATATGTATATGTATATGTATATGTATATGTATATGTATATGTATATGTATATGTATATGTATATGTATATATGTATATGTATATGTATATGTATATGTATATGTATGTATATGTATATGTATATGTATATGTATATGTATATGTATATGTATGTATATGTATATGTATGTATATGTATATGTATATGTATATGTATATGTATATGTATATGTATATGTATATGTATATGTATATGTATATGTATATGTATATGTATATGTATATGTATATGTATATGTATATGTATATGTATATGTATATGTATATGTATATGTATATATATGGATATGTATATGTCTCACCAGAGCAGTTGCAGGGTATTTTGTATTCAATCATTCAGTCACTCTCTCACTTTAAGGGAAGTTAACTTGCTTTCCTTTCTTTTGCTCCGTTTTGCGCAATGGGCATATAAAACTCAATTGGGTCGTTAAATGTAAAAATTGTGATAAATAATCAAATTACACGCATTTGATGCTCGCCAAGATTTGGCGCTTTGAATTTTTATGCCGCAGATTTTTGGCGTATTTTGTGGGCTTTTCATTTCTGGCCGCTCGCCTGCTGACGAGGCGCATAATTTATGGCCAGCCGTCGATTTGGATAAAGCGATTATGAGGCCTGTCGGGCGTTGGGATAATGACGCGAGTGATTGGCTTGAGTCGGAAATGCTATACCATAAATTGTATTATGTTTTCAATTATCACGCATACGCCACTTGTGACAGGCGTCCGACGAGTGATCTGTGGTCAACTCGCGCGCTGTCCAAACGTCTAGAATTTCCAATTAGAGCACACTTATTTCATGCAAAGTGCCTGTGGCTGGCGAATTCTCCAATGCCAATTTCAATTTCAATTGGCGAATTTCTTTTGTGCGTAACAGGTGCAATTCAAGGCAGCACCGCATGACTCAATGTGTGTGCGTGTGTGCTGCGGTTGTGTAGAATTGCTTGTCATTTAAACAGATTAATGTGCTACCGTCAATGGCATTTCGTGTCGCCGGCTGACGATGACATTATGTATTTGATTGTCAGTCATACGACTCCCTGGCCCGCAACCCTTTAAATGGCGCATTGTTTGCCGGCGACAGTAATAAAAAGCTGTCCAGCGAGTGAGCCATAAAGGGCCTTCGCGCAGTTTACAGGTAAGCGGCCAACATAATTTCAATGACTTGATGAGGTGGTTTTGCTTCAACTATTTTAATTAGCCGTAGCACACGAAATGGCCAGCCACCAACGGATCAGAGACAGGCCTTTGATGTGGTCTTGACATTTTGCATTGACACGGACCGGCTGACATCCAGTATTCTCTCGGAGTGCGTCAGCGCTAAAAGCCCCAGCCAAAAGGCTGAGAGTTAGCATCCACGTTGACAGCGGCATCGGCATCGGCATCAAAATCAAAGTCAACGGGCCATTGGCGACACTGTCGTGGGGCATGTCAAGGCGTTATTTGATACGCGAGACGTCAACGCGCTGACAGCTTGCACATTTTTCATAACTCGCTCGGCCAGTGGCAGTTGCCACTGGCAGTGGCAAAGTGCCGCACTTTCACTGGCTGCTGTGCTACTACTAACAGCTTACAACAAACACTTGACTGCCTGTCTATTTTGGCAGCGGCATTTAGCGCTTTGGGTACTCGATCAAAGGTGTGAAACACTTTTGGTTCGCTTGGTTTGCTTCTATTTGCGCTCAGTACCTATATATATATATATATAAACATATAAACTTATCAGCTAAGTGGATGTGTAACTGAATGTGTGTAACTGTGTGTCCCTTTCGATATTCAGTGGCCGCCGCAGCGTGTTTCACAGCTGTCCTGCGTGCAGAATCGATTGCGATTGCCGTTGCAGCCCTTGTAGGCGAAGGGGCGGCAGACACCCTTGTCGTAGTACCAGCGGGTCAGGGCCTTCGTCTGATCCTTGCTGTTGCAGTAGTTGCCCTCGTTGCGGCCCACATAACAGTTAACGTTGTCTGCAAACAAGGCAAAAGAAATATTCTGTTTAATTGAGCAATTATTTGGTTAATCGATTCCTATTTGTGCTCATAAATCATGCATTATTTCTTTGCCTCAATGACTTCCAGCGCCCCGCCCTTCCCCTGTGTGATGGCATGCGAGTGGCCTTATTTGGCCCAATTTAATTTTGTTACGGAATAAGAGCATTACGCATACAATTTTGACAAAATATTTTACAAATTCAAAAGCCAGACTGTGTACACATTTCTATAGAAAATGGCAAATATGACTGACAACAGTTTTTGGCAGTGGTTTGTCAAATTGCGACTGAACATTCAAGCATAAAGCAGAAATTGGCCAAAACTTGTTTATATTATTCAGAAAAGCTTGAATAGTTGCGAACAATATATAATGGCATGTGCTCAATTTACCTTTTAAATCTAGGAGAGGAAGGAGAGAAAGACCGTTAAAGGTATGGTTAGGACTAAGATAAACTGAGAGTGTATTCCATAAAAATTTGAGTAAAAGTCCACCTTTGGATTCTTATTAACCGAAGATAAATATATATAAATATAAATAAAATATATGAATTCAAGACCTGCTTGAAGCTTCTCCTTTTAGACCGGAGCCGGCGATTCGTATGTGCAGAAAGAAGAAATAATATACATGCTTACAATTTTAATTGCAAATACTATAAAATTGTATAATTCCTATATTTTGTTATTGGTTGCACTTTCAGATCAAAGCAACAATTGCAACAAATAAATCTTTTGGATAATGCTTGGCTATTAATTAAATTTTTATGGTCCATTTGTTGCGATTTTCTGACATTAATGTAGCATTTTGTAGTTGAAGAACTGGCCACGTCCACTTACTTAGCTCCTTGCACTGACCCTCTCCAGATCCGGCTGCACCGATTCCGATCGTCTGAGTCAGCAGAATGACAGAAATAAGGCAGACTAGTGCGATAGATAGGAACGTCAAATTGACTTTAAAATTCATTTTTATTCAATTATTTTCACGCCGCGGTAAAATGCAATAGAATTAAGATCGACGAGTGAAATGTCTATGGCTGCGTCTGTGGACCTGGCTGGCTGGCTGGCTGTTCCAATAGTTTCGTTGTTTATTTTTAAGTAATTTGCGCTACTTTGACAAAACGCGACGTGGGCCAACGAACCGAGCGAACTGAATACTGGCCGGGGTATACTTTTAGTTTATATACGAAATGCCGGAAATTCTGGCGAGATTTTGGCCCGAACTCGAGCACGAGCATGTGGCTGTGGCTGTTCCCATTTTCGTGATACTTTTGTAGTTTTTTTTTTGTTTTGTTTTATTCGCTGTTCGAAAATACTTTGAGCAATTGTCCATCTGGCCAGCCATTCATCCATATAGCCATGCATCCATCCATCCATTCGCAGCATCGTCCAACTGTATATGTCCATCAAAGCCAAGTAGGGGCGTCTATTTTGGGTCCACAAATATATTTTGCGGGCTCCGTCAATTGCACTTAGCGTTATCGCGAGGCGTTTACTTTGGGCTCGTTTGCATAATTTTCAACTTATTGAATATATTCCACATAATTAATTTTAATTATTTTTACTTCTTTCGTTTTTGCAAGTATTTGAATTAATTTTGATGCTAAGAAAGGCAAAAGGGTCGACCCTCGACCCAGTCAAGGGTTCACTTCCATTGTCTCTAATTACAATTGGGCGGCATTTGTTTTAGATTTTTCAATGTCACACAGCCTGCGTAAAATTCCCATTTGACAAGTGGCTCGCCCTTTAGTCCAAGTCAAGAGCCAAACACAAAAATCAATCTTCATTTTAAATTCAATTTTCTTTTTCGTATCGCATTCGATACGCTGGAGGGGGAACCCAAAATTGTATACATATCCATATATATATATATATATTGACTGTTGACGACGCATTGCTGCAAACTGACGAGGGAATTTCGCCTGTCGCAAATGCCAACCAGCACAGGACAGTCACGGGGCGAGTAATCAACAGCTTTTGCCGAAAAAAAAAACAAAATAAAAATTGGCAGTTACGAAAAGTCGAGTATTATTTCGATGATGTCCTTGAACAAAATGCTTATAAATATGCATGCAAGGAGGATTATTTTTCAGTGAATTCAGCGCTGAGTCCGGAATATGCGGATTTGGTACAATGTGTTGTATGATTAATTGACAAGTAATGCACACGAAAAGCGTTAATGAATGAATGCGCCACGGAAAGGACGACATTAATGATGATGTTACCCGATGATGTGGCAACCAGTCACTCGTTCGACGCCATTCCCACATGACACGCCCTATGTTTGCAGTCATTGGACCAAATGCCAACAGACTTTTTAATTGGACGCTCTGCTTGCAGAAAATCCCGCACTGGGCAGTGTATCTGTAGTTGGGAAATCATCAAAATTACAAGCAACGGAAATGTAAAATTGTGAGAGGATGTAACTACCTGCAAAACGGAAGTATTAACGAAAAACCCGTCGCCAGTTATACAAAGCCAGTCGACTGAAAGGGCCCCCAAACTGCCAAGCTGGCGGAGTTGCCTGCGGAGCGACCCGCAGTCCATGAGATTTTGAGTGCGATGCCCGTGATTAGTTACTGAAGGGCCGAAACAATGGATACACGGAATGTGTATCAGCGACAGTAAATCAATACATACTTAAATGTGGCTCATTCTCGAACGATACGAGATTTGGCTACTAAGAAGCGACAAATATAAAATTGACATAATAAACAAGAACAAAAACGAGCTTCCCACTGTTAGATACTCTGCTCAGCGTGTAAGACAGGTGCGAATTGTGACAGTAGAAAATATATTTGTAATGATTAAAGTTGTGGATGTTTAAAATTTCTCTTCTTAGAATTTAATATAAGATACATAAGTTGTGCTAACAAACGGGAGCAAGAGGATGTGAAAGTACACCAGAACAAATATACTGAGCGCCCCATGTCGACGTAAGCTGTCACAACTGTGTCACGTCAACTCATGTCAAGCAGAGAAAAAATAAAATGGAAATATTAAAAGAAAATTATTTTTTTATAACATAATTATAAATGTAATCCAATTAATTCAGAGTATATCAATGTTAATTAAATATGTAAACAGGCAAGAAGCAAATCTTTAGCATAAGTCATATAATATTGCAAGGACTTGAATATAAAAGTGTGCTCATTAGACTGGTGGAATAATGAAAAATGAAATGACTAATGAAATACTTGCATTGTGTGCAAATTTGTCAAAGCGACAATATGCGCTAATGAAAAAATGACAAAAGTGAGAAGAGTTGCACGTCTCACAGCTAATAGATTCGTTGTTGGAATTGAAATCGTAATGAAAACTTTCAATGATGGTGCTCCATAATATGGTTGCCAAGACACAATATACTCTTTATCACTTGCAAACAAAGAGTATACAAAAAAAAATATATATATATAATACAAAAATCAACACAACATAAAAGCTTGCGTTGATTTCTGCGTTTCCTATAGCCAGCCACGTAATGTAATGCCGTAATTTGTGATTTTCCACTTGTTTTGGCAATTTGGTGATTTTCTGATATTTTGTATTTAATTTTGACGGACTTTTCAACGCAGTCGACCAAAAGTTATTTAATGGCTGCACTTGAACGTGCCGAAAGCCGATGCCAACTGAAGCCTCGCACGGACGACATTTTCGCTGGCTACATTCATAATATTGAGCTGTTAAGGAATGGACCTGAAAACAGGCGCAGGATCAGACGTTCGTGATGACAAAAATGCCGAGATATTTCTTACTTCTGCCTGGTGTTGGTTCCTTTGTTGTAGGTTCTACCTTGAACTGTTTATCATTCCTTTTTGCCCAGTTTTATTTTACTTCATTTTTTGGTTTCCTCTTTTGATTCCTTTTTTAGTTTTAGGGAGTCCCTTTTGATTTAAAGTTCCCTTTAGTGCTGCCTTGACTTGGCCGCAAATTGAGGAAATGAAAAATTTGAATGATTCACTTCCGGCATTTGTTAAGCAGATCGACTTTTCTGGGGAAATCAAAAAGAGTTTCTTTTCTAACTAAAATATTTAAATGCCAAGGATTAGGTCCCTGTTGTTGGGGCTTGCTTGTGTTTTACAAAACAACATAAGTAGGAATTAAGTGCTTCATTTGGAGCTCATGAGCTGCCCGCAAACCTGGACCTATTGATGCTGGAACTGCTTATTATTGATTTCAATCGTTCGGAATAGCTAAATGGCAGGCATTTTCTTGCAGAACATTGGCATAGTGACAATGAAAACCGTTGACAATGCCAAACAAAAGCAGGCGAGCAGGCTGGTTCGGTTCGGGTTTGAGCAGGTTTTGCGGCTGTATCTTCTTTGTGTTTAAGTAAAAATTTTACAATTTGCAATAAAAATTCCAGTTTTGCTTTTCGGAATTCAGTTTATGGTCGCCACTTGCGCCAAGCTAAGCCCGTCTGTGCGCTTGTATCCTTGAAAGTGGCTGGCAAAACTGGGAAAAAGCGGCAACCGAGCTTTCAGCTCGAAAGTTATTATGCGTCGAGTGGTAGACTGCGTGCCGTGCGGTTTCTGGTCTCTGCTGTGGCATAGAGACGGGCCAAGCAACAATTTAATAACAAAACATATTTCACTTGCATGCCAAAGCTGTTGGGCAGGAATGCGCTGTGAACAAAATCGAATGTGCTTAACTCAGCCATGTAGCAGTGTGTACTGTACACCACGCTACATACTACACTACTATTTTAAAGCCATGAAAACGCTTCTGACATTTGTCAAGCCAAAGGTCTGGCTGCCTGGCCCATTTGGAGGTTTTTGTGTGCGCTGCAGCCAAGGCGAGCCAGTGTCATGTTGATTTCGTTCATTTCCGACTCAAATGGATTTTGATTGTCTGTCCGGGCCTCCTGGCTGGCTTGGCTCGGGCCAACCGTGATGGTTGGAACGTGTCTGCCATTTGTCTGCACACTCGTTTGGCAGCCGCTGCCAAATGACTTGCTTTTTCTTAGCCCTTGGCAGTTGGCTGTTGCTTCGGGGGCCATTAGGTTTTATTGTAATGATTTCTATTACCACACTGAATTCTCCAACTGCTGCTGCTGCTGCTGATTTGCTTGTTGTTGCTTTTGCTGCAGCTTGCAGTTGGCAGCAGTTGGCAGCTTACGTGGCCATCGCGCTTAATGAGTAGTTATTTCCGCTTGTATATCTTGATAATGCCAAGTCATGCGAACATCGCCTTTTGTGGTAATCGGCCCTGTTCCGAGACACGTTCCCATATTAATTGCACTTCATAAACGCGTTCGCGTAAATTCATTAGCATGAATGCTTTCTAATTGAATTTATGCATATTTTATTTGTGTATTGTGTACCAAATTTGGATTCATTTATACAGAGCACGATTCTATATATTTATACACACATTTCACAAAGCCCATATATACGCTCTATATACATATATATTTATTACTTTTTTTCTTCTTATGTTTTACTCTGCGCGCTGGTCGCTTTGAATTTATGAATTTCATTTTGCAGCTGTCACAACACAGATAATAAAATAAGCTTGAATTTGTGGAAAATCCGCAATAAAATTATGCTGTTAATTTCTTTGTTCTTCTCTTTCAATTTTAATACATAATTACGCTTTATGTGGTTTGTGAATAGGGCTGTCAGTTATAATGAAAAATCCCTTTTGCTCTGCACATTTTTTTCTCTACCAGTTGCTGCAGTCTCCCAGCCCGATTATGACATAAAACATTCATTAATTACATACACATACATATATCGCATTTGTAGTATCGGGAGCAGTTCCTTAGTGAAATGTGCGATTGCCATTCGCAATCCGATTCACCCTCGATTAGAGAAGCAACCGCCAATTTGAATTTGGCGCTCGACTCTTCTGTGGTTTCCCTCAGCAGAGTGCAAATTTATTTGATGCGTCTGCATTGAGGAACACAAACTGGCGTTTGTGATTTGTGCTGGGGCTCTGCTCAGTTCGTTCGAAATGTTGATGATTATCAATTTGCGAAATGCGATTGTTGTTGAAAATCGCTTAAAATCGTTTTGCAAGCGAAATAAGAATGTCTTACAGTGGCTCAAGAAACCACATATTACTGATCTTTTTTCTTTCTTTCTTTCTCTTTTTTCTTATTATTGCTTATCTTGCTGTTATATAACGAAAACCCTAAAACAAGCTTTT